CTTGTCTTCCAGACTTGCTGTCACAGCTGGCAGAAGACGAACTTGGGAAATTACGAGAAAATATAAGAACGTGTGGACTAATTTACTTCCCTTTAGTAAGTAATTAGCCGGTTATTATCATATTTTGACACTTAAGCAGAAACCATTAAAGTAAACTTCCTTTGATTTATTCAGGTGGGTTATCTGTTGAAAATTCCAAAAGTAGAAGTAGAAACTCCCGATATACAGTTAAGCGAGTTGGAATTCGCTGTAAGTTGTGAACTTTATTTTACTGATGTAACTGGTAAAAGACATATTTATCGTTTTCTCAATTTTGAATTTAGCATTTGATGGATTAGTAGCACAAGGGCTTACATGTTAAATGAACTCATGTTTGTAATTTCGGTGGCCAACAAGCTGGTCGATTAAACTGAGCATGATTTTCTACAAAAAGCGATCAACAAAGTTGTCGAGATTCTGTATTTATTAAACCTTACTGTCGACGTCTTTAGGAGTTACCATAGCTCTAGATGGGGAGTCTATGGTAGAATAGTGATAGAATGTTTAAGATTTAGAAAACACTAAAACTAGTCATTCTGAAAAAGCTATAAATTGAATCCACTACGCAGATAAAATTGAAATAATTTAAGTTCAAAATGTCAAGGCTTGGCATTATTTTTACTGAATAAGACCCCCGTATATTCGTCATATAATAACACAGAACTTCAACTGTTTTGATCAGTTTACAGATAACGAGATGGCATACTATCGAAACAAAACCACACGCAGTAAGTACTGTCCTATCTTATTAAAATACTTTTTTGTTTCAGTCCTGGATCAACGCTATGGTGATGTAATGTATGCCATTATTGGTAAGTGCGAAAAGCCATATAATTTAAACACAATCAAAATTTACGAATGAACAGTATTAGTTCTTTATATCAGCAAAGTAATGAACAGTTTGAAAACTACATAATGACAAAGTCACGACTTCCGCTTTTGATGTATGGACGAATTAATTCGAGATCTCAAGAAAATCTGAAGTGAAATTAACTAAGACTTACTCCTGTGGTTGTTCATTATCTAGTATTTTGGGAGCTACTGTGCATATCATCGCTCTTTGATGACAGCAAAGTTAGAATCCAGGAACACAACTGATGGATAAGAGCCAAGCCACTTCGTGGTGTAACATGAACACAACGGAACACACTCGACTAAACTTAGGATTTAGACAAACTTCACAAACGAGGTTAAGCGAGCAACATTCAACCATTACTGCTATATAGAATCATTTGGAGCGTATTCCCAACATCGTTTTTAAAGTAGAATTATGTGAATTTAGTATCAGACAGTAATTACTAATTTTTGATTCACTCTCGAGAACTTAAGTCATAGTTGATGTACGAACGCAGTGAATTGACAAAAATGAACCCAATACTGCAGATTTGATTTTCAATACAATAGGAAGCATGTATACTCTTTTGAAGAAATGTCCGCATAAATAAAGCGACAATCTCATTTAATATGGAGTTGAGATGCACTCACACCAACTCGATCTAGATTGACAAATTATCTGGAACCTAATCAACATACCCCGGTTTCGAAGCATAGATGGTCTTGACTGTCGAACACTCAGAGCATAGCTGGTAATTAATTTGCGGTCCGGCTTACCTGTGTGCAAGACTATCGAGTCATGGGTACTTTGTGAGATGCTAGCCTAAAAATCAACCGTTTCGTACCAATTATCTCAGGACTTACCAGTCGGTACGTTATGTACTAGTTGTGTAGGGTTAAAACCACTGACAATGCCTGGGCGTCAGCCTACAGTACTCCTGATTACCTTAGAGTTAACTTGACGTTTATTAAATCCACTAATAGTTCATAGGTGAGGCCCATATAATCCAATATGACGGATTAACTTTTGGGATACTGGCTCTAAAGATGTCCATGTTCACCGACACTTTTTGTCCATGTCTTACAGAAACTCTAGAATAAAGACCTCTACATAGTCCTACTAACTAACATGCTCTTCCTGAAATACTCACTCGATGTTCGACTTATCAGGTAGTCACAGACATACATGTTTAAACTAATTTTGCAGTTCAAACGAACATTACAAACTGAAGCAGAACTCTCCCCATCATCTCTAACCGGGACCGACGATAGTTTATTTGAGCACATCGTCTATTTCGTCGCTTATCAGGTCTGACGGCACAACAGAAGTGATATACGTAGGATTACTCAGCACTTGAAATGACCGCATCCATGTTTAGTGGGAACAAAACGCGTCAGAAATAAAGATGTCTTGATGTAACGTGACATGTGTGCCACCGCAACTAATATTTGGTTTAATCCTTAAACATTTCTACAGCCAGTTTAATATGCTACTTGTCCACCTAATATTGGTTATAAGAACCTATTTTGCAAATGTGCTTTCGTCCTTCTAATTAACAATCATTATCAATGGAGTTGCTGACCGTCCGGAACTAAGTGCATCGCTTCGGAGCAGTGGAAGACGTTACTGTAGAAATTCCAATCATCCCTTTGGATTTTACCACTCGTCAAACTCCCTGGTGAGTTGGAACATTAAAAGGGACCTGGTAATTGTGAGCGTTATCCACCCACTGGCGTAGAAACGTCTATTACTAGTAGGGCACTATCCTGGCGTAATTGTCATTAGTAAAACTTACTGTGACTATGTGGTAAAATGGAATGAACGCGACCATGCCCTTGAAAGTACATTTTAATGGTTGATACCACCGTCCATCTTTGCAAATAATGCTTGTGACTTAAGGAAATATTAGGGGAATCCCCACAGAATGCACATATACCAATAAGAGGATGATCAGTTGCAGTCCTAAGCATCAACAGGAAGACTCAAACAACCAATACAAGGTGAACTTAACCTCACCGCATTGCAAAACCGAGTGACTATCTGAACTCAATAGCAAAATGGTCGACGCGATGACGTTCAAAGCGAACTGCACTGGGTCTGAGGCATGGAGTGAACATTAGCCCTGGGAAGTAGGTGTACCCAAGCGCAGAGCCTGAAGTAGGACGAAGAAACCCACTGCCGACTACCATCTATCTCTGCCTATAGCTATACACAAGTTTGGAAGTATTAAACTAAGATGGCTCTCCTAGAATAGCTGGATGGAACAGAAACCCACGTGTACTCACCAAAACCACGTCAGCCGCATTTGGCGAGTGATGCGATTGTGTTGGAACGGTTTTTGGAACGCTCAAGTCGTTCGGTTTTCAACTCAATCTAGAGAAAAAACATGACGCTATACGGGATCTGTCAATATGCAGTGAATTTAGTTGGACCACAGTAAATAAGTCTGACCTAAAAATGTGCCAATCATTCACTGTCTTACTTTGACACATTTTACTAGAAAAATGGGATGCGACCACGACATTCAAACAGTCATAGAAATAATTACCACTTATTTAACTAGATAAATCTTCAGCCAATTCTATTTATAAAACTTTTAGATGCGGAAACCACGATCATGCATCACCTTCAAGATCGCTTACTAATTCACACACAGAGCATACTTCAGGCATCCCAATTTGTTGCGGAGATAGATTGGTAAGTTGCTAATTAAATAGTACACAAGAAATAAATACTTTGTTTATGTATATAATTTCGAGACCTTCCCTACAATCAGATACTATAATTCAAGCAACTTCCCAGCTAAATGATCAACATATATAGGAAAGCACAACTTAAATAATAAATTCTGTAAAGCCACAAAGCATAATACTTTTGCCGGAGATAGCCGTAACCACTAAGGCGATTTATGTTGGTGAATTACAATCCTACTTTGCACGCAATATGTGTATATTTAGATGGGCTGAACACTGTAATCACCAAAGTGATCTATTCAGGCTGAGTACCTTAAAAATACAAAACTAGTAGAGGCCCAGACCAGTTGAGGATATTCCCTTCAGTCTAGCAAAGCATGAGGGTTACAATAATTAGCAAACGACAAAAGCAACCGTGACCTCGTAAGTTGATGTACTAACAAATAGTATTTATACTAGCAGAGCTCTTATTGTTTAGATAGATAACTGAGGGTGGATTTCCCTTAATCGTTGAAGTTGTAGTATCACTTGTATTGCATTACTATTTCAGCTTATGTGCCTTCGCCATGGCTGCCAAGCATATGGAATGGACTCGACCGAAAATAGTGAACGAGAACTGTATACATATTTATAAAGGATGGTATCCTATCCAACAAACAGTATCTACCAACATAATTAAAAACTCATTCTACTCTGATGGATCTACGCATAAGATAACATTGCTGACTGGACCGAACGGAAGTGGAAAAAGCATCTACATGAAAAGTGTAAGTAAATCTACGAGTGACTATGGACCTCGATTACATTCCTGAAAAGTAGACTATGCCACTGAAAATAGAAAGTTCAATTAAGAATGTTGACTGCATTTTAACTTACTGTTTTCAATTTTCCCTAACAAAGTAATTCCCATAAGAAGTGAGGAGCTAATAATTGTGCTGCTGAAAGATACAGGGTCCCTGAGAAGTACGCCACAATTATTTTTAGTGTTGAGGTATCACCAGGTTGAGCCGTGAAGCTGACCATGCGACAGAATAATGTAAGTCATAAATGATGAGCAAACTGAACTCTGTTCACGAAGCAACGGTTAAATGATTGTTTCAGTAACTCGACAAGTAATCTCTCGCGGTACTTGGTGCTCGATTGAGTAACATTTTGATACTAAACAAACTTCATTTGTGCTAAATGATACGCCATTGAAATCTTCATTACTCGGTGATGATTTTACAGGATTTGGATATGGAAGTCCCTCTTAAAGTTACAGACATGAACCGACAGTGTAGTTGTAGTTTAACTTTGAATTCCTATGCTTCGAATGAAATCTTTTAAAAATAACTAAATTAAAGAGTTTTGGACCAAAATATCCCGAAATTTTGTTACGCGACCACAAACGCAACTAATTGCAATACGTGTTGGAGTATCAAATGAGACTTTTTGTGTATCAACGCTAGTTATTATTAGATGTAATTTAAGGTTGGGAATTACAAGTTCTCGTACCTTAATATCCTAGTGAGGACTTGAGCACTTATTTACCGAGGTAAAGTACACTGCTAGCAAATATGAGCATAAAAATATACTTGCCTAGCATGTTTACGCTTTTTTGTTTACTTGTAGATCGCCTTAATAATTTACTTAACGCACATAGGAAGCTATATTCCGGCTGAAGGGGCAACAATTTCTGCGTTTGATGCAATACATATACTCACAGGTACAAACTCTACTGAAAGAGATAACTGTTCGACCTATATGATGGCACTTCAAATGGCCTCAGTTGCTTTAAGAAACTTAACAAGCAAAACTTTGATAATAATGGACGAGTTTGCAAAGTCCGTAAATAAGGTAAGTCTAACACCTAGAAACTACTACGGGAAGATGAGTTAGAGTGACAGGAATTATGTTTAACTAAAGTTTGGTAAAACTACTAATACAGGTTTGTTTGGTTATGGTGTAGTTAGGACGCCACACAAATGTTTACATCGATGCATATCGGAGTTCTAGTCCGGAATATGCAGTGATGTAAATTTAAACTATTAATACCAAACTCTTATAAATCAAGAAACTTGACTACAATACATAACAAACGGGATGCTACGAAATCCACAAAATGCTATATATATATATATATATATATATATATATATATATATATATAGCGAATAAAAACGAGTATTCCCGATGTTTGACAAGAGCATAGCATAAGACAACCCATAGAACCATGTACGACAAATCTATTTATCAAGATATAATTACTAATAAATACCTAAAACATGTAAAACTACTATAACCACACATATTGTAACCAAATTTTCATTTTTTCAGTTAGAGTTAGATGCGCTTACAATCGCTATGACAGAATTCCTATTGCTGAGAAATGAATGTCCGTATACCATCATAGCTACCCACAACCATACAATACTAAGGCAACTCCAAATGTATGGACCGCAAGTGCAATACCTGGTAAGTTTTCAGCTTGAGAAACATTTTGATGTTCTTAACACAAGACAATGAGGACAGTCCCTCATGAAGGAAGAGTGGTGTGTCTTTATGAAGCAGTCAATGGTTTGAACTTAAGAAGCGAGGCAATTAGTACAGCACATGCTACAGGACTCCCGAAGAAAATTACTGAAAGAGCATTAACTCTGAAGGATTTTTTGAGAACAATACCCACTCATCGTATGAAGAACAGAAATAAAAAGTAGTTTTTTGCCTGACTTAACTTATTTTACAGGGTGAGGACGGTCCTGAAGCTAGTTTATGGAACAGACACGGATGGCAGTGCGATGACGCTAGACAAAATCTTTAACTCTGAATTTTATGAACTTTTAGGAAGTCTAGACTAGTGTAAAAGTGGAGGTCGGGAACCAGATAAATAAAGACGTTTTGAAGAGATGATTGTTGTTATTTTTTCTGCTGTCGAATTTTAGAAAATACGAAAATAAAGCTTTCAAACCTTAACGAAGTAAGAAAAACCTGTAGTGCTACTGATGGCCGACATATGTATCCATTGCAAAGAAAACAAATATTCACAAAAATAACAATGATAATCATAGTCAGGGGGGATATTGTACAGGGGTAGTGAATAATTTCAACTATGAAACGAAAGAATAAAAGGATGCTCTAGTGCTCTGGAACAGGTAATTCGTTCTGACGGAATGTACACCAACATCTCTTTTACAAGATCGAAAGCCAGGCGCTTGTAAAGGTCAGAATTAGAAAACCAGTAGTCACCAAGAGGTTTCAGAACTCTCCTAACGTAACGAGACTCTGAAGAAGCAGGAGACCAATCTAACCGACCATGGCGGAAATATCGTCGTCGACGGGACACCTTTGTCATACATTTTGGGAGAGTCCCTAGTAAACGTTCCATCATAGCTAGGTGCTCAAGGTTATCATGTGTCATGAATAAACATTGTCCTGTCACCAATTCATACAAAATACATCCTATAGACCATACATCAGCAGATCGATCCCATCCAAGCTCCATAACAACTTCAGGAGCACGATAGTGCCGTGTCTGTATGGTAGTCGAGTGGTGATCTTCATCGAAAGTGGCTGATCCGAAGTCTATAAGCTTTATGGATGGATTACGGATTCGCCGTACTGTTCTGCCACGATGGTTGACATAAACTTCGTCGTAAGTACCATCAACAAATAAAATATTCTCAGGTTTTAAATCTGTGTGTGTGAGCTTATTTCGATGCAAAAAGGCAACAGCCTCACACAACTGTCGGATAATTATTGCACATTGTTCAATGGTGTACGGTTCGTACTCATTTTTTTCAAGAAATGTAAAAACACTTGGACCAAGTAGAGGAAATACAATATAGAAGTGTTCATGCCATTCGAAGAAATCTATAGATGATATGCAATGGGATCGATCTTTGGCATCTAATCTTGCAATAGTTTCTAAAACATTAACCTCGTGACGCGCAGCATCACTATAATCACTCTGAGGTTTAAGAGCCTTGACAGCAGTCAACGAATTTGTGTACAAGTCAAAACATTCAAAAACTTGCCCATAGCTACCCTCTCCTAGTATCTTCTCCACTCGAAAGCGTCGCTTGATAGTGTCACCGACCGGTACAATAGCAGATGGTTTGCGTTTGTGATGCTCATGACTAGCTTTCCTTCGTGCTTTTTCATCGCGACGCTTTTCTTCTCTCTTCCGACGTGCTATTTGCTTGTCATCTCTGTCAGGGAGTCTCGGAGAACCAGGAAATTGCCCATTATGTAAGTGAACGCGCATTGAATGCCCATCATGGATTTCGATACTTGGACTACGCTGCCGTTCTCGCTTAGTTGGATGGTGAGGCGGAGGTTTGGTAACATGACTAGGAGCGATGCCACTGCAGGAGGAACTGTTAGAACGGTCTCGAGGACGGCCCTTATCACCAGAGATACGTACTGCCTTACATGTGCTCGTTGTATGATTGAAATTAGGAACTGATACATGGGAACTATGATTCCGCCTGAACCAACGGGGATAAAAACAATCACAGACTCAGTGACACGAAAGAAATAAAAACAAGACTATTCAAAATCAAAAGTTTATATGTGTACCTTTTACTACGTTCTGAAACACGACGTCTTTTAGGGTCTGAACAACCATAACCAGAGGATGCTTTTTCGGATGTGCTGGACCGTTTTCGATGACCAGCTGATGAAGAAGAAGTGGAACAAACAGAATCCGATACATATCTAGTTTCTTTGTTTCTAAACAGGGAATTGAAGCAGCAACGATGATTGCTTTTAGAGCGCCAACCACGGCTATTAGACTCTCCTCGTCTCAAGACCATTATCAATTAGGGCGCACTTCCACTTACTGCCAACAATATGGGTACCGTACTGATGTAAACAAACAGAGTAGAATCCTAAACAGTTAAGACTATTAACTTTTTGAGAACCTTTGCAGCGTATCGGTCATTCTTATTTCAAAAATACAAACCTCACTAGACATTTTTCAAGAAAGGTTTGGGGACAAAGTATAAGATTATATGATTAAAAGAATGAAAGAAGTTTTAGGGGGTGTGATACTATTTTATTTTGAAACAGTAAAGAAATATAAGCCTAATATAGTTATATGAACTAGCGATTTATTCTGAAATATCTCCAAACAACCATCAGCAAGCGATTGTGGACGCTCCATCCCATCCCCACACCTAATCTTATCGTCATTTCAAGGTCTGTCAAGTATTCTGGATTCTCGAACTCTGTTATATGCCGATGAAATTAGTGTAAAGAAACTAGTACAAGAACCTTCGGGTATATTGACTGTGCAAGATAGCTTGAATATGACAGATGATTACGCAATCAGGTACTGTCTCCTTAATAATAACAGTATAAAGAGGATGAAGAAGTTAAACAGAAGTGATGCATCTACCTTATACTCCCTGGATGGTTTCAGTCTACAATTTACTCTAAGTGGGCTTGAGTATCACTTCGTCTGATTCCCTAGGTATTCATTTTCATCGATATTCTGCAGTCGATAAGAAATACTCAGTCACTGAGACTGGGTTCATTATACGATTTACAGAAAAACAGCTTAAAAGGGAACTGAACTAAGGACTAAACCATACCGCCTGGAGATAATCTATTCATAATTTTCCAGCACGAAACAATATGGTTGGCGTTCGTCACGCTCGACACCAAATAAAGTAACACTCAAGCCCATTTAGAGTAAATTGTAGACTGGAATCATCCAGGGAGTATAAGGTAGATGCATCACTTCTGTTTAACTTCTTCATCCTCTTTATACTGTTATTATTAAGGAGACAGTACCTAATTGCGTAATCATCTGTCATATTCAAGCTATCTTGCACAGTCAATATACCCGAAGGTTCTTGTACTAGTTTCTTTACACTAATTTCATCGGCATATAACAGAGTTCGAGAATCCAGAATACTTGACAGACCTTGAAATGACGATAAGATTAGGTGTGGGGATGGGATGGAGCGTCCACAATCGCTTGATGATGGTTGTCCTGAACCGTTTCGGTATAAAGTAAACCTCACTTTTAATGTGTAGATTCGTAGTCGAATTTTGATCTCATTGATCACTTAGCAACCACTCAGCTAATATATATCGTATATTTGTAGTGAACGGGAACAAACGCGGGGAAAATCGAGTATATTTGAACACAATATTACAAAATCTTATAGTAAAATCTGAGAACCTTAAAGTAAATACTTCGTTTGCAAATTATCAGTTAAGCGTGCTAGACTTCATTGTTCTTTCGTGTCCAAGCCAGTCATTTCTTGTTTTCGTTCTCTTTTCTTTGATCTTCTCAACCTTCTGCCTCCAGGTATTTCACTTTTGATTGACGATACGCACTACTTACATCTATCGACATCAGTAGCACACAGCACATACCAATCTGAAATTTGGTGTTAATGACAAATAACGGCACTGCTGACGTTCCAACTAGAGCCTTGTTTCAAAAAGCACAGAAGCCTGCGAAAACTAAAAACCATTTACTACAAAAAGTCTAAAGATAGTGATTTGAATACTTACTATTTCACTTATTTGATATATACTGAGCTGATAATAGTAACAGAGAGAGCTTTTACAAGCTGTTTAACCGTCGAAAACGTGTATCATTTCAAGTAGATCCAGTAGCCGAGCATCGTAGCTTGCCCCAGCAACTCATTACAAAAAATTCATATCCAGAATATATACCTCTCTTTTACCAGTAAAAGTGTTGCAGAATGCCATCTGATCAACGGTATTTTTGAAATTTGAATAATGTGAGAGTGTATGTCTTTGAAAATTCGGGAAAATGTGGTTCAAATTTAGGCCATTATTGCTTACAAATCACGATACCAACAGATACAGCTACAATTCACACTAACACAACGTGTGTAGCAGAATTTGATGACAATTAGCAGGGGATTCAAAACATTGTCAACCGGAAATATTACGTGTACTATTATACAAAGAGAAGAAAACTGTATTTATAGTTCAGCGGCAATAACACGTAAGAAGTTATCAGGAAGGTTGTAATTTGTTCTTGGAGTATGCTTTACAATTATAAAACGTAGTTCTGCAGATATAACTATGTTTTTAAAAATATGAATTTTCACGTTGTTGGTACTGAGGACTACAAGTTTACAATCTCTACTGACATTAATGGATTTTCTTTTGGTTATAAGTTTTATCAAGGTTGTATCGTACTATAATATTTCAGTTATTTGAATTGTATTATGAACTAGGAATCCCAGAATTAACGCGATTGAATTAAGAAGTGAGACACAAGCACAAGCGAATGTATTGTATTTGGAATTCAAAATCGAGCATTCAACAAGTACCAAAGAATCATAAGTTAATTCAAACACCACACGTACCTAAATGTGGAACGCTAAGTACGTGTTTAATCCTATTTTGGTCTGCTCAACCTCTCAACCTTGGCTCCCCAGAAGAAAAACGATCAAGCCATGCTAGCCTACATTTTATCAGCAAAACTGAGCTAAGACATTCTGCTGAAATCAGGCACTGAAATTTCAAATGGTTGAATGTGTCAGCTTTACATGACAATGTACAGTACGTGAAGTGAGGATTTCATCCTCAACTTCATGTGGATGCTCATGGGGATTTCTTACTTCACACAACCTTATGTGCTGCAAAGCAGTCTGTTAAGTTAATGGTCCTCGAAATCTACAAGCAACATACAGTCATCAATAATCACACTTTTTGTTTGCTAAGCTGGGCGGGTTACAAATGAACTGGTAATAACAGCGCTTACAGTCAGATCAAATAAGTAAGAAATATATGCACTAAGGCAATGAGAGAAGACAGGCTTCAGTATGATAATTTGGAGTATTTGGGTTATGGTATAAATTAGGAACCCCAGAAATAACGCAATTTTATCAAGAGGTACTAGATAAGCACGAACGAATGTACTGTATTTGGAATTCTAAATTAAGCATTCAACAAGTACAAAGGAATCACTAGTTCATTCAAACACCACATTCAGCACCAGATAAAGCTTGTTGATGCAGTGAACCTCCAAGCTACCGACAGGTAGAACGTCTCTCAATCCCCTCAAATATTATGGAGTTCCTGATATTCGAATTTCTAAACGATAACTTACTATGCATAAACTTCTTTTCAGCCCAACAGCACGGTTTGAGGAAAAGGCACTCTTGTGTTACCAACATGCTGACTGAGGTGGATAGATGGACAACCGTCTTTGATCGCAAGGGTAAGTTTGATGTTATATACGTTGGCTTCTCAAAGGCTTTCGATAGGGTCAATCATATGTGCCTTATCAATAAGCTCAAACGACTAGGTATCAAATCACTAATAATTGATCAACTGAATTCATATTTAAACAATCGAAATTTCATGGACAGGGTTACATTTTGTTTTCCTCAGGCTAAGGAATATCCTAGTGGGAGCCCCCAGAGTTCAGTACTAGGACCCCTTATTTACTTGATTTATGTAATCGATCTTCCACAGCAAGTATCATCAGACTTACTACTTTTACTGAAGATGTTAAACTTTGGTGAGAGATACACAACCAAAAGATAAACTGACACTTCAGGAGGATCTGATTCGACTTCAACGTTGGACAGATGACACCGGACTTACCTTTAACACTTCAAAGTGTAAAGTAGTCCATGTGAGACATGTTAAAGACTACAGCTACAAATTAGGCAACTCCCCTCTAGAAGTAATCAAGTTGAAAAAGACTTAGGAGTGCTGGTACCCTACGATTTGAAGTTTTACGTTAACTGTCACAAAGATGCCTTTCGAGCAAACCTTGCAAAGATGACATTGAAGCGCATTTTTGTCTAGCTTGACGGAAGAGCTTTCCACATAATCTTCAACAATTTTATTCGTCCCCATTTAGAGTACAAATATATTAGTTAGTATAGCCAACTTTTACTATAATTGATTTTACACTGATCAAGGACAGCAAATTATCAAAATATCATGATATGAATCTGAACTACTAAGCAGTAGTATGGTGTTATAAGTGTCAATTACAATGGGTGATTCATGAACTTTTCTTCATATGGTACATTGTATTTTGTGCAAAATGAGTAGAACTTTGGGTTCTACATCTTATACGTCTCGTTTTAGTGAGAAAATGTTCATTTATTCTCTTTTAGTGGATTGAGAGCTTTACAGTTCTTACCAAAATAAAGGTAAGTAGCCAAATATTAGCTAGTGTTCCGATCTCTGAATCACACAAACTTTTTGTATACTAAAATGAGATTTAAAGTAAATTAAATTGTAAATTGTCGACCACTTCAACCATTCACTTGAGATTGTGCACGTATAGTTTTTTGTCTTGGAAAATCAGAGTGGAAATATTCAAAGTGATATTATCATTGTTACTATAACTAAAAAGTAATATATATATATATATATATATATATATATATATATATATATATGGCGTGAACACGTTTGGCTATATACCTCTACATACATACAAGTACTTACTAAATGAAATTCTGATGAACTTTGATCAAATCTTGATCCAAAGCTATGTTTTTTACATTTCTAACATAATTCATATTCAGCAAATAGTAACAAAGGTTTCTGTATCTCGGTGACATAAGACGAAACGGCCGTCCAGTGCTCCCAGGTTTTCCATGGTGGTCTAGCTTCAATTGGATCATGATCTCAACTATTACAATTACTACAATATCCACGAAAACCCCTTCTGATTTGGTAAATTAGTCTGCACAATCCCACTAATCATTTATTTCCGATGTATTTTTTTCAATAGTTCTAAATGTAACCTATCTTTTACTCCAGTAATTACTATCGTAACTTTTGTCGTTCATAAATTACAGTTTATTAACTATCAGTATGTTACTCAGTTTTGTGGCAGAAATGTATCCGTAGTGTACCTGTTAAAGTATGTTAACAATTGTTATGGTTTATACTCTTGTAAACTGCCTACATAATCACGTGAAGTGAATTTAAATATGAATGACAAGTAGTTTTGAACATTTACCTACACA